CCGGCCGAGGTCGCGGCTTTTCTCCGTCTCCCAAGTGCACCCAGTTTGGACTCCGGCGGGAACCCCTGACGCAACAAGGGCTACTAACCAACCAACATAAGCCGACAATTCGACCGTCGATTCTGACGAGGTCCACCATATGTCCCACAGCAGGCTGGGAGCAGGGACGGCGAGTTGCGCGCGAATTTGTTTCATGATAGTAGGCTTGCGGAGCACGTACGGCATTATCTCTTCGCTTATGCTCTTGAGTCCGCTGTCATTATTAAATCATAAGCAAGACCGGTGGTAAACGTGAACTTGCGCCTGGCCCCATGTTCCCAAAACGAGCTGCATGGCAGATGCGCACGACAAACAAGGGGGCCAGACTTGGGCAAGGCATACGTTATTTGACATGCGCAACCATAACAAAGGTCATCCATGGAAAGGGTGTGGTAGTACGGTTCGGAACAGGTCCATGCCACGCCCACCACCTGTATCCGATCCCATCTTCGGTGTATTGACTTGGCCATGGCATAGGGCTCGGGAGAGTGACAGAGAAGAGGGTGTGGTAGACGCTGTGAAGGTCAGCTACTACCACAAGCAACCTCATGCGCAAGTCACCGTCTGAGCACACCTTATTGTGGGTTATTGTGGGGGAACCACAGCAGACACGTCTTCGACCGCGTTCCCACCCGCCCTTACGGCGGCCAAGGTCTGCTACACCAAACCTCCCTACGGTGGATCTATCCCTCCTCCTCTCCATCTCTGTTGTCGACGACGGAGCAGCCCTTCGCGACCATGATGCTCTGACTTCCCTTCCTCGCCGCCGGGATTGAGGCCAATCCGGCGGGACTCCTGATCCAACAAGGGCTAGTAGCCAACCTTATTGTGGGTGAGACGGTGCACACTGTCAGAATCGACCGTATATTTGTCATATTCCTCCTAAAACCGGCTAGGCGGTAGATGCGTGGGACTAACACGTTATATCAGATAAAGATGTGCATGCAGTGGGGTTTGGGGTACCATACTGCTTCAAAAAGGCAACGGAAAGTTGTTGTGTAAATTGTGGTCAATTTCGAAGAGGTAAACCAACTTCGGCCAGGCATACTACAGATACATTTATGTGAGGTATAAGCACACAGTATATCCTATTTAAATTTTAAACGAGTTGCCTTTTGTTATTCGTCTCCTATTAGCTTGCGACGGCGCAATATTGTGAAGAACCCTGAACACGAGGGTCTGAATAAAATTACCTAACCAAAGCGCGTCACTGATCCTAACTATACCGTCGCACTGCTCGCACGTAGCCTGTTACAAGGACACTCCCTGTTGATAATAAAAGTCACAATTAAAAATCGAATTACGACCGTATTTGCATGCTTCGGCCGAAAAAAAGTATTTTCAGGATAAAAGGATCCACCAACCTGTGACTGTGCCGGTACGCCAATAGCCTGAGTGTAATCCTTTTGGCTGATACCGAGGTCAATATAGACATCGAAGATGATGGCCTGACGTCGATGGTCCACTCGCATCGGCAGCTCCAGGTTTGAGATTAATTCAATCACGCATCTTTCGAGGGCGAGCGGTTCAAAGAAAGGACAAAGTTTCGCCAACTGGCTAAAGTGCAGTGTACGGTAGACCTGCGAGAGCTGAAGGAGCGTTTTCGAGACGAGCACCTCTTGCAACGGTGCTTGATATACGCTCAAGGCAGGGTTCACGGCGATACGGTCAAAGGCCGGTTTCACTTTCTCGAAAAGTTTAAGCGGTTGAAAGTCGACTTCAAAGGCCTGGTAGAGTTGAGCCAACTCCGGGGGCACAATCGACTGGATCTTGCCCATTGATAAGTCGGTCAATAAGGAACTACGTGTGGGTACGGTGGAAAGGCCTGGAACAAAATGGTTAGACACAAAAACAAACTCATCATCTTACCGAGTAAATTGGCAAGAGCCTTCTGTTTGGCCTGATTGTAGTCGCTAGACATGAGAGAAAACGGACTTCTCGCTTGCGGCAGTGGTACAGACAGGGCCGCACACAGAGCTTTTGAACCAAGAGCTGACAACTCATCCGATGTCAACGCCTTCTTGTGTTCTCGGTGCAAGATTAGGCGTTTGTAGACTGCGGCAGCATGGAAGAGATAGCAGCCGGAACGGAGGAAGAGTTCTGCCGCCCTGTTGTAGTAGTCAGCCATCAAGGCGGGCCGATCAATGGTCTTCGCCAGCAAAACCAAGTTCCAGATGTCTTCGACAGTTTTGAACGCCTCCTATTTTTTGAAGGAACCTATTCAACACAAGAAAACAACGCGACTTACATTATAGAGCTCAAGCTGCATAGCACAGTCGAGCTGACGGAGTCTGGTCTCGAAATGCCAAATTTGGGTGTCCGGATTGGTCAGACTGATTGCGTTCTGAGCGACCGGTTGTGTTTGAATTCTTGTAGTATGCATCCGAAGCTGACAAGGAAGAAATGTCAAAATACATTTGTGTTTGGTTAAGTTATCCAAGTGCAGTCCTAATGTGCATAAAAGACAACAGTAAAAGATTGACACCGCTGTCAGCGCCAACAAAGTAACCGAAATAATCTATGCATGGACGACATAAAAAGAGGGCCAGCTAAGGAACCCTACAATTGTCTCAGAGACATTCATGAAACAATTCTCAAGCGTTTTCCAAAAAAACTCAGCCAACGTATTAGTCAGATACATTTTGGGTTCTCTGCACCGGATTACTTCACGACGAGCGCTAATAACGACAGCATTTCGAAAGTAGTCCACAATTTTTCCTTTCTGCCCTCAACTGTAGGCTTCTGCTGGCTTGTATACCAGTTAGCCCGCCTTAGTTGATACCTCCGTTTTCTCCTTTTTTACTAGACCTGCAATTATGATATCATCTGTATACTACGCTATCAGATTATTGAACGAAGTGAAGCTCAAGCTAGTTGTGCAGTAAATCTACCTACGGTTATCCAAGACGTCGACGGGTGCACTCAATAGCCCGTACGTCGCATTTGTGGTTTACTTGTACCATTTTAACACATATCGATCAACTAAAATCGCCGCACCGAAAAGACGCGTATGTGATTTGCAAATCGCGTTTAGCGTTAACTGGAAGAATTTGCTGTCCATGCTAGGCTATTTCATCGAAATACCGTTCTATTTCAACAAACTGTACGAGTTTAAATTTGTTATAAAATGCATGACAAAACTGAAGTGGCTGTCTTGAGGAAACAACTGGTTGCGTTTTCCTTCCGCTGTCCTCGCATGATCGAAAATTTGTAACAGCTAGCAGAGGGGAAGGAGTCATGCTTATCGTCACTGGTGCATAAACTTTAAGCTCATAGATTCATACTCTAGTGGCTGATACACGTTATTGTTGTCAACTATACGTTATATTTGTATATCAAATTTGAAGGCAGTACAGATGCACTAGCACATTTTTAAAATTGAAATCACAAAGTTACATTTCACTGTCCAGTGAACATCTTATAAGTGGTCATTTTAGGTGCGCGAGCCTACGCCCCCGTTGTTGTTTAGGCTTCTGGGTTGTA